TAAATGTGCTGTTTAAATAAATTTGACTTTGACTTAGTATGACCTATTTGAGTAAACAGCCTAAAAATATGTGTAAAAAAAAATCACTTTTCCTCACAAGAGACACTTTAATGATTATATTTATTAAATTTTAAACTACAGGATGAAATATTTACTGAAAATTGTTTTTTGGTTGTTAACTTTAATTCCGGCTTTCCTTACTGCAACTACTCAAATACGTACTTTGGCACAACAGCAACAACAAACAAACAAACAAAAAAAAAGCTGGAAAACGTTTGTTCTTAGGGTCTGGAGAGTTTGGTTCCCTGTGATCGTGCCATGTGTTACTCTTACAGATAATAAATGTGCAGATCTTGATTCCCGCTGCTGTTCAGCCTGTAAAAACCACCCAGTAACTGCCACATGTGGATCTGAATAAACTGGTGTTCTAAATATTAGTTTTGTCAAGTTTTTGTTTCGATTTTAAGGAATCGTGTGCGAAAGCAGTCATGTCAGAGATGGGAGATGCTAGCATTTGAACATAGGTGCAAACCAGCAGCCTTCATATGTTAGCATGCATAAACCTGTGACCATGATAAACATTAGCACAAAGCACCACTGTGTTTCATAGAGCTGTCAGCTGGTTCAGTATGCTTCATCTTATGTTATGACATAAAAAAAGATGGAGAGCTGTCCTAGAGTCGTTTTTAAGAATATCCTGATACACAAAGTGATTTTGTCCTCTATAAAGGAACTAGCAGCTGATGCACTGTTGCCTTGATTAAAACATTTAAGCATTAGAACAGCTGGCTCAGCACTTTAGCAGTCTATCCACAGCATTCATAAGCATGCGGCTGCATCTGATGTGACAGGGGCAACTTCCTACAGCATAACAGTTCTGATACTAAAGATCAAAGTTGCCATCAATTTCCAAAGAGACACGTAGAGATGCGTGATCGGAGCCAATTAGCAGTTGTTTCTTGCCTCTGAGATTATCAGGGAGAGGGAGCACTGTAAAGTACAAAGCACCATCATGTGTCAAGTGGATCTGTACATCAATAAATATGGGCCTTCCTGGCTGAATAATGAGGGAGAATTTGTAGTTTTTGCTGTTCAGGGAATCCTAAAGGTTATCGGCAAACATTTATAACAGAGGCAATAACTTTGTGTGTGTGTGGGTGAGTGGGGGAGGGGGTGTCGAGGAGGAGATGAGCCACTGCTATCTGCTTGACATTTCAGTCGGTATGGGTATTTGAACTGCTGGTTGGCTCTGACAAATGCCATGGCTGTCACAGGCTCAGTTTTAATTACACCTGACTGGGTCTTTCAGGGGCTCAGGGATGAACTTAATTAGCTAGCAAGCACTTGGCTAGTTCTGGCACTGGTTGGTACAACCTACGCAGCTTCTTCTCTGGCTTTCCGTTGGCATTTTAATGGTCTTGGTCTATACAGGCTGGGAGAATTAACAAGCGAGAAGAGAGCAAATGGAGTCGAGGAAAAATGGAGTGAGTCTGATTTTCAACACCAAGTTAAATTTAATGTATGCTAGGTGTATAAATGGAGAGCTTTTAAGTGCCACTCGATATATTAAAAATTAAACTGCACTGACCATAGAGTACAAGCTAAAATCACCCAATGGGATACACCTTGGCATTATAAAACAGTATGTTCAGTAAATTCCATTAGGGGGGCTTTCCTAAGCCGTGTGTACTCTGGAAAATGGGAAGGTCAAGTCAGAAGTTTACCCCTTTTTTCATATGTTGCTCATGTAGCCTTGAATTCACCAGACAATCCCCATCATTATTTTGGGATGGATGCTAACATGGACTGCACTGGGAAAGTCGACCAATCCAGCTGCCTCAGACATGAAACCTTTGCATAATTTCAGTAAGAAAGCTCTATATAATAGCTTGCAAAAATATGTTGTGTGGTTTCAGTGTTCCCATAATTCTGGGACAGTGTCTACTTCTTCCTCTTTCACCTGCTCCCTTTAGAGGTCACCACAGTTGGTCTGCCTGAAGCAATGTGTTAAGTACATCTTGTCACCTTCCCTTTCTGTCACAAATCACCACTGACAGGTGTCTCCATTAACTCCATGCTGCCTGCACTCTCTGTCATTGCATTGGCCATGTATATGAACTTGCCTGCCTTCAGTTTTACAACCTGTCTCCTGCTCATTCACTCACATGTGTTTTGTCTTGCTTCTCCTGACTTTCATTCTTCCTTTCTCCAGGGCATACCTCCACCTCTCTTCCACCTGCTCCCTCCTCTCACTACAGGTAACAATGTCATCTGCAAAATGTCTGTGAAGGTTCTCCTTCATCCAGGTCAACGTAGTCTTCTTTCCAAGCTCCTTAGAGCAGCGGTCCCCAATCCCCGGGCCTCAGACCGGTACCGGTCCGTGAGTCGTTTGGTACCGGGCCGCGAGAGTTGAGGCTCAGGTGTGAAATGTATGGTTTTCAGGGTTTTTATCGGTTTTCAGTGTTATTTTGTTATCGTTTACTCTGTTTTCCTGGGTCTTTTCACGTGTGTTATGAATAAATCTTTTTTTCGGTACCGGTACTAGTTTTATTTTGTTGCATTTATCCGCGACACCTTAAAGGCCGGTCCGTGAAAATATTGTCGGGCATAAACCGGTCCGTGGCGCAAAAAAGGTTGGGGACCGCTGACTTAGACAATGTCATCTGCTAGCATCATAGTCCACAGATACTCCCGCCTGACGTCATCTGTCATCATGTCCATCAATAAGCGCAAACTAGAAGGGGGTGAGACCCTGATGTAAATCCACCCCGACTTAGAACTGATCTGTCAGTTCTACTACACAGCTCCCAACTGTCGCTGTCCTCATACATGTCCAGCACCACCTTCACATTCTTCTCTCCAACTCCTGGCTTCCTCATGTAGTACCACAGTTCCTCTCCACAGATCCTCACATGCTTTCTCAAGATCCACGACGACACTCCTTCTGAACTTCTGTCTGTGTAAATTAATTGTATTTCACTCATGGAATAGTTTACTTTAAAAAAAAAAAAAAATCAACAAGACTTCTCATATTTTTACCAGTTTCTTAAAATGGTTCTCAGTTAAATGAAAACAAAGTACAAACAAGTATTCGGGCAATATGGTATTCATGACACTTCAATTTCATCTATAGCACATGACAGATTGAGATAATGTAGACACCAGAGTATCCCAGTAGCTCTCCCTGTGTGTATGACAAGGCCATAGCGATGATTAAGTGGTTGGCACATTTTAATGAACACAAAGCCATTCAAGTGGAAGCAGATTTTAATTGAAATCTCCTTCTGTTTAATAACTTACCTTATTCACTGAGTCATGTTTCAGGAGATATAGAAGGTGAATGTGTGCTGAGTGAACAAGTAATTCTGTTTCACTTCACAAGGCTGCTCCGTGCCCTGGGGGGGGGGCTTGCTGTACTTTCTGTCACAGTTCACTTTTCCTGCTTGCACCATTTCCCAACAACATCCTCCTCTCTTCTTTATACACTTCCATGCACAATTATCACACAGAAATTGGACAATTCATTAGTATTATGTCAAGATTATGTTAGCAGTGTGTTAAGGTTCAGTGTTGTTCACCAGCATTTTTGTTTTTGGAAGTTTTTGGCACCAACTAAATTCAAATTTTCTTAATGAAAAAAAAAAAACACAGTCCAGTGCAAAGTTATATAAAAACCCAATAATTTATTATCATTTCTTTTGCAAAGATCACCATTATAACACATTTTACCTGGCTACAAATGTTCCACCTACGCTTTACTTCAGACCATCAGACATCGACTTAAAACGTTACAGGACTTGGTTTTCAAAAATTTCAAATTTACAATACTTCACTTAAAAAGTATTCATTTGGATGGAGTTTACTATACACGTAACTGGACTATAAGACTTTTGATAAATGGCAACCCGTTTATCTCACCAGTTCTAAAATGCTGTGTTCTGAGTCCTGCTCAGTGGCAATCATCCTAACACCACTTTGATCTAACTGCAAATATGAATCAGAACTATTATACAATATATATGAATGTTTCCAGTTGTCAAAAACTCAAATCATACAATGTATGAATAAGTCTGAACAAAATATCTCTGTTGCAAAGATACACAGACAGTTTTGCGGTTGAAATCAAGTCGCCACAGAACTGGCAACTTGATCGCCGTTGATTCGTGTCTGGTTGTTAAGGCTATGCTGAGTTAAGGTGTATGTGGGAGAGTAAAAAGTACTGATATGTAAAAGCTATGGGAAGGTTCATCTGTTGTCATACATGTAGAAAATAAACCCACAAAATAAAACTGAATACAAAAATTTTACCCAAAGCTGCCAAACCAGACAAACAAAGCATATCAGGACATTTTTTTAAAATGTCCTCTTTACTAATGAATCAAAAGTATTTAAAAGTTTTAAGACATGTGATTCTGTGTCCAAAACTGTATTTCCCCACTAAACTGTTAGTGCAGCAGCTTTGATTTGTTCCCAATTTGTAGCTTTGTTGTTGAGGTTATAGAAACAACACGTGCTTTGCTGTAAAATGAGGTATCCAACTTTTTTAAAGATGTTTTTGCAAATTGCTGATAACAATTCAATTCAACGTGCAGCGCCAAATCTTTACCCCCTCCCACCTCCTCGTTTCCATGGGAATTGTCTTTAAAATTCAGGACAATGAGGAGTAACTATGTCCACGTCTCCTTTGCTTTGAATAGGAGACAAAGACTGCATACGTATACGTTAGTTTGTATTTATTTAAAAAAGTAAAAAGCAAATGACCGGCTGATGCTCCATTGGTAAGTGTGCATATTACATAAAAGAAGAAAAAGTCTCTTAGAACTGTCTTGAGTTAAGTGGTTACAACATAAATATGAAAATAGAATTGAAAAGATAAACATGTTTCGCGTAAAATAACAAAATAATTGTATTGTCATTGTATCATAGAAAAAATGCTTTTTCCCACAGAGTGATGTGAAAAAACAATCTTGGAAAAACATCAAAATGTCATGATGCCGCTGATAAATTCTTTACAAAATGCTTTTTTTGGGTTACAAAGTGTGAAAAATATTCCTATTGTCCATGTAAAAATGCCACATTTAACGAGGCAAGTATGTCGTACCACATGGGGTAGAATGTGTGTGTTTCTTTTGTTTTTTTATACAGTAGTGACTGAAAGGAAGGCATTGTGTACCTTAGCTCCCTCTGGGGCCTTGGTACCATGAGTCATCAGCTCCTGGATTGTCATCCAGTTATCCAAGATCTTCTTGTTGCGTTTCTTCATCATCTTCTTGTGGCTGAGCTCTATGATGCTGACTTCCTTTCGACCCTCACTGCTGCTCTGAGGGTTCTCCCTCAAGCTCTCCAGCCGACTGCGCTGCATGAACTCTCGCCTCTTCCGCTGTTCTTTCGCTCTGACGAGGTGCTGCTTTCTTTCCTCTTTACTCCAGTACCTCCCCATCTTCATTTCACTCATTGCGTCGTCATCTGTCGTCATTCCCCCGCTGCGTTCCTCTTTAATCTTTAGGGCTCGCTCCTTCAGGATCTTGTCTCTCACAGGCCTCTTGGTGATGTAGCGGGTACCGTCACTACGGATCTTGACCTTCCACTCCATCTTGGGCTCTGTAATGGGCCTCTGAGGCTCTTTACAGACGCTAAGTAGACTGAGCTGGCTCTGAGCGTACTCTACAGCTGAGCGCTGTTGTATCAGCTGCATGTAGCTCTGGTAGTGGCGGGCGTGAGCTGGGATGTTGGTCTGCCTCTGCTGGGAACTGTGAGAAGGTGAGAAGTATGGATTTCGGGAAGCGCTTTGGTTTAGTTTCCCTCTGCTCTCTTCCTCAGCCTGAGGTGTTTGGTCTGACTCAGAAGGATTGCTGTGGTCAGGGCTGCTGCTCTTACCCAGGACTGGAGCGCGGCACGCTGGGATGGGGCTCAGGCTAAGAGAATGACCAGCAGCGAGGCCGCTGCAGAGGTTCCTCTGGTTTGTAAGACTAACCATTCTCTGGAGTGAGTGCTCCGGGGAGCGGTCCATTGCCAGAGGGGTGCTGCGTGAACTCTCTGCTGTGTTGTAGGCACTGGAGCTGTCCTTGTCCGATTTCTCTAGCCTCTCGTTAATGTCGGCCAGCTTACCCTTTGAGGGCTCACCGCGGTGAAAGCTTTGGATTTTGGTGGAGGGTGTAGAATGGCCCACTGAGGGAGACTGCTGACCCTTACGAAGTTTGTGGGCCTGCATGATGTTCTGACATTCAAGCTCGATGCTGCGCAGTTCCTCATTGAGCATACGCAGCTCGTGCTGTACCCCCGCCTGCTCCCCCATGCTGCACTCAATAGTGCTCCGGCGGCTGTAGAACAGGTCGTACTCGCCGCTGTTGCGTATTTGACATTTCAGTTCCAAGAGCTGCTGGAAGCGATCACCTTCTGCTTCATCCTCATCCTCATCCGTTTTGTCGTCTAGCCGCATGGAGCTGGTGGTAGAGTGCGTGTCCCGACTGTCTTTCAGGCACTGGGACAGACGTTTCTGGATATGTGCCATGACATTATGCTGCGAGTTCCCCATCCTGTCCTTTATGCTCAGTACATTGTCCTTATGATGAGGGAGTGTGGAACAAGTGGGCTTATCATCCTCTGTTCTCTGAAATAAGTTGAAGAGAATCAGCGTGAATTACTTCTAGATAGATAACAACTATGGGATATGCAGCTGTGTACAACATAAACATGCGTTGTACATGAATGTGCAACAGCTACGCTCTTTTTGAAAGCAAGGTAATTAAACCTAAATGTACAGACTTTCTGTTTGGTAATACAGAAACATGCTTATTCTGAATTTATTCTCTGATTTAATCATGGAGCGAGGGGGAAAAAAAACAACAACAAAAAGTCACAAGAACTTTTTAAGAGTTCAAGAAGTGCATCCCTCTTCTGCATTCCCCTGAAGGAATACATATGTTGTTGTGCATAACTCTGTTAACCAGCTCTGTTACTTCAGGGATTGTCTCCTCTCTGCCATGTCTTTGAAGTCCCATTTATATGGATTTTTGAGGTATGCTATCCTCTCAGCAAAACAGAATTTTAAATCACGGTTACTAATGTTTGGAATTTAAATGGTTCAACGGTCCCCCTCCATAAATATTCATAATCGGAATTTAACGCTCACATTTCACAGGGAGAAGCTTGTTTTGACTCGGTTTTGCAAAGAAAGTTGATGAACAGTTTGTCTTATGATAGAAATGGCATCAAAGATAATATTGGCTGTGTATAATGATCTGTCGCAATGAGCTGTCCTTTTTTTTCTCCTTGCTGAGTTTTAGAAGCTTCGTTATACTGAACAGTGCAAACAAAGAGCTTCAGAATTTCTTACATGGAGATAAGCTTTTTCATTCACTTGCTCATTACTGGCAGGGTCAATATGTCTCGATGCTGTCTGACCTGTTCATTCTCCTGTTCCTCTTGTAAGGCAGCTAATTCCATTTCCTCTCTTTGCTGCTCCTCCAACATTTCCATCTTCAGTTGCTCCAGGAACTCACTATGTTCATCATCCAGCCAGGCTTCTTCCAGCTATAGGTGAAGGAAAGGGTTTAGGCTAGTGGCTTAGTGACATTTTTGTTATCCTTTTTGGGTAATAACAAGCGTCATGATTCACATTTGACAGATATACAGTCCTCATCTTTTAAACATGGACTCTAATCGTAGAATCAGAACCACGTAACTTGATGGCCACCACTTTTAACCTGTTAGGCCGTATCATCCACATCATCCATCATCTGTTTGTACATCTGATGCAAACCAAATGGTATCCATATCTGATGACTTCAGATTTACTACTAAAATGCATTTAATTAAAGTGCCTAGTATTGCTTCCAGTTCCTCTGCACTGCGGCAGAGTCCTTCCACTTAGTTTGTCATCGGCCCTGGGCCTGAACTCACTCCACATTAGCATGCCATTAGCTTTTATGGCTTACCGTTGGAAGTCAATTACAGTGGAGCTACATAAAAATAAAACATGATGAGGTCTCAGTCGTGGCTTGCAGTAGGAGTGGTTACATGTGGTGGGAGGGCGTTGGTGGCTACACCAAACTGCTGAGGTCTTCTTTGAGCAAATACACAGTACAGTACAGTAAAAGCCTGAATTTGAAACCATACAGGTTATGTAAACTGTAGATTATGTCCAGACAGTTCAAAAGCAGCTGGGTTATCTTAGCTCCACGGTTGTTCTTTTGTAAGTCTTTGTCACTTCAAACTTAGTTTCTTTTCTTTTCCAAAGACAAGTCGAGGAAATTTGTTTTTACTATTTGACTTCAGTGCATAATAAGTCAGTGTGAGTTGAATGTGTGATTATTTCTCACCTGCATCTCAGGTCTGGCAACCAGCAGTATGATGTTCCTGCACTCGTCACTGGAGAGTGCAGCCATGGCTTCCTCCCTGTCCTGTACATCCTGGCCATTAATCTGAAGACGACAAACACGATTAAGACCATATTAGGTGAAACACAAACAAGCAAAAATTTCAACACAGGCACGAACACACAGGTTCATCGCTCTAATGCAAATGCCCTTAAGAAAAACAAAATGCCACACTGAAACACATTGGACAGTAGTGCCCTTTTCCTGGGCAAATTGTCAACCCTCTCTGTAATAAATCTGGACCCAGCAGCGATTATGAATGAGACACCGGCCGTGGGCTGACGGAGGTGTTGTGTCCACCAAAGCATCCAGCAGCATACATACATCTAGCCGTACAATTAACTGGCCACTGACAGGTGGCGTCCATCTTTTTGCAGGCAGAGTAATGGCCCTGTCACTAGTGGATAATAGTGCCAGAGTACCCGTCTGCCTCACAAACCTACGCACACCGCTTCCCTTTGTTCAAATCAGCCACACAACATGTACTGTTGAGACAATTAGACCAGTAGCACTCATGGATCCACTTCACATAGCTATTATAGGCTAGGCAGACTATTTCCGTCTCTCTCTTTCCCTCCCAAGATGGTCAAATATATATAAAAGAAACAGAGTCTGTACAACTTTCACTCACTTAGACAAGCTTTCTTATAATTTCTGTATAAAGTCTTCGGCTCTCCAGGCATCTTGAAGGAGTTTTAAAGCTCTTCTTTGGATGTTGACTGCCTTTTGTTTTATGCTTTGTTAAGATGATCCCACAGTGTCTCAATTATGCTGAGGTGGGGGATCTGAAGAGGCAAATTCACGACTAGAACAACAGTGTGTTTTTTCTGTCCAGATATAGTTTTACTGCATTGGCAGCGTGTTTGGAATCACTGGCATCATTCCAAAAGACCGGTTGCTACTGATTTTCAGTTTACTTGTTCTGGAATTTGGTAAAGCCTCAGTCTTTTCTCCCTGTTTCCCATCTTTAACAATGGCTTCTTGACAGCCACCCTTCCACTGAGACCATTTCTGATGAGGCTTTAGCAAACAGTAGTTGGCTCAACCGGCACATCTCTTAGGTCCTTTGTCGGGTCTTTAATTAATTTTTTCTGTTTCTCTAAAGAACACGACTTTCAGAAACTGTTTATCTGCTGTAGATCATTATTTTTAGCTCTCTCATTTCTTCTTTTGTCCCATATTTTTACATGTATTTAAGGAAACGCCACCATGCTGAGATATGCTAAGTTTTTGGCTAACAGGTAAGAATGACCATGTAGCTGCAAAAATATTACTGTGTACTGTGCATTTAGTTATACATTCAACAAAGAAATTGGAACAAAAAGATGAAAATCCAAATTAAAATAGGTTCTTTGATAAGTTGTCTGCTATGTGCGGATACAACAGTTACTGTTTTATGCTGCTATAATATGCCCAGCGATGTCAGGAGAGAAATTTCAGGGGTGAAAATGAGTGAAAAAGCAGTCAATGTCCAAAGAAAAACTTTGAAAGATCTTGAGAAAGTGTAAAGAACTATTGCTCAAGACCACTTTAAAAAAGTAGCAAAATATGTATATTGGAAGCATGTTTTTTTTGCCTGGTGTTCAAGACAGACAAGTGAAAAAAAGATGAAATTGTCTCTATACAAGGGTGCAGGTTTAACTCTCTGGGATGAGCAGCTAATCCATAAAGCTAATGCAGAGCCCTGGGTTCCATCTGTTCCATCACAATAAAGGGAAGACAGCCCCAAAATTGCTTCCATACAGACACAGATTATTGGTAAAACATACAAGTCCAAAATTCTGGAGGTGGTATCTCAGATGTTTTCAGTTTGTTTTATGGCAACCATGAATCCATTAACACTGGCTTAACAAGCTATTATGAAGCTATTATGGTGACAAACACTGTAATCGCCTACCTATCCCACAGAAACAACACGATCCAACCCAGAGCTCTAACAAACGTCGGTCCTTGTCAGTAGCCATTCCAAATCTCAAGCCTGGATATCTAGCTAGGGGCTAATAGCAGTTACTGCCTCTCAGCTATCCCACAGGAGGCAGCAGCACAGTGTCACTCCCAACCAGAACTCTTAAAAAACCCTGCTGGTGCTGAGTCGGTAACTAAAACAGCCAGGGGGACATTTCTCCCTCTTTAACAGTCACAGCGGGTGCAAGTTCCCCCTTTAATGTGCTGCCATTAAAAATGAATGGGCTCTCTTGCTGGGAGACAGTGGTTGAGTGTGACAAAATAGAAGAAGAATTTTATTTTGAACCTAATAAAAGCCAGTGTGGAGGTGACCAGCGAGTGCTTTACTGCACCTGTAAAATGCGATCCCCCTCCCGGATTCGTCCATCTCTGGCAGCGATGCTGTTTGGACTTATCTGTGAAGGTGGAGAAGGCACAAAATTATACATGAAACACTTTCAATCTTCATTCGAGAGAGTCTAGATGTGGCTGGAAGTATTGTGTGATAGCTGTCCAGACCATTCCCGACCATTTGATGTGTTCCTTTTATTGTTTCCTGAAAGCCTGAGGAAGAAGCTAAATCATCACCTTTATCATCCAAGACATCGATTGCACCTGCCTCAGTTATTATTTTTTTGACAACTTGATAAAAAACAAGTCTCTGCATAAAGCATCTCCAGCCCGTAACTCAACTCCAGTACATCGTGCACCTGCTCCTCATGTAACTAATGCTAGTCAACAAGAGGGCAGAGCACTCTTTCATTGACCAATCAATCGGCATCTGGGGCCATTCGTTTCACTTTTTCCTATCAGATAAGATCTCGGCAGACAAGGAGGTGTTCAAGCACTCCATCTTCATGATAGTTCACTCCTACACAGAGGGCCGCTCATTAGACTGGGACAGAAGTCCCCAGGCAGGAATTAGTGAAGGGCTGGAGGAAAAAGAGGAAATTGAAGGTAATTTCTCAGCAGTCAAGGAGAGAACTTCAGATCGTGAATAACTTACAACCGTTTACGTGTTGAAGATGACATTGTTAGTGGCAAAACCGCTGTTTACAGAATGAGTTTCTTAGCTTTGCCTCTTAGCTTTATTCTTTTTTGTATGTTTGTTTCCTTTTTTAACTGTTTTTGAACTGCGAGAGGAAAAAGGGCAAGAGGCTCTGGCAGAGCAGTAAAGAAACAGCAGGTGAACTGAAAAGTCTAGAGAATCAGCCACATGTATTCACCCACTGTGCTATGAGACAGTAAAATGGAAAATGGCCATTCAACAATCTAAATTTGGAAAATTCTACTTGTTTTAAAATAACCTTGTATTCTTCCCCCACTCAACTCCCAGTGCAGCCAGCATACAGTGACATTCAGACACCTCATGTAAATGCAGTGCACTCCTCTTAGCCCTACTTTTTATAGAGTAAACACTTAAAGATGCTGCCAGGAGCCAGCGACCACAGTGATTTATATTCTACGCAGCTCTCAAAGAGAACACCTTGCATGGTCCAAGTCGACTTCAAACGAATTTGAAAGTTGAGGAGAGCGGAGAATGGCATTTTCTATGCTTCCAACAAGTGGGAGAAAAATAGTCTCTCTCTTTACATGTATGCCAGTGCCTGCTTGTTGTCAGCTGCACTGAGACTGGATGAACAACAAAGACAAGACCTGAAAGCACTTCTGTGTTTTTTTTTCTTCTTCCTCTTTTTTGTTGTTGTTTGCTGTCTTGGCATTCATTTTGTTTCTGGTGAACTGACAGTATGATCACGCACACACAGATCAATGCTAAGCTGTTCAGTAATGTCAGATTTGATAAAAAGAATTCAATTTTAAAACTTCACCAAATAAAGAAATTGTTGTTTCTTACATTGAAGATGAATATTAACTTTTGTGTGAGATTTTTCATTAGACATTTCATCAAAGTACTGATGAGGGAAGATACTTAATATTTAAGTGTTAGAATATGTATATACTGGAGTATGCTAGAAATATCATCTTTCAAATGGTTAGCAGCCCTAAATCTGGTTGCTGGATTAAAAATGGCTGTCAGGAAGAAGATACAGGATACATAGTGTCTCATTCATTACAGATTTTGGATCCTTACTCTCATCCGTCTGCTGTGTTGTATTGTCTTGACTACATGAACTAACACAACACAAGGGCCAGTAGAGTTTTTACTTGGCATGACTGAAAAGGTCCAATGACTACAATGCTGTTCCCTGTCAGCTTCTCTCTCTCAGTCTAGATTTGTGCAGCCTTTATCGCACTCACGGCATCCAAACGAGCTGTCGTCACCTTGGTTAATGTCATCGTCACCTGTGTCATCAGCTCGAAATGATAATTTTTTATGTTTGTGTTTACAGATGTCACCACATCAAAGAAAGATCTCCAGTCTCTTCTTCACACTGAGGAATGCAGATTGTTAAGTTAAACACTAAGTTATGATTGTGTTGAAACAGGACAAATTTGGATTGCTGCATCTCATATTCTGTCTGATTTTGCTAGCGTTGGCGACCTCGACACACCATCTGTAACCGTTTTGGACACAGAGGGTTAGCAGGCCGGATTGAAAGACTGATAGAGCACGCAGGTTAGAGGGGTGGCTGTGGAATACATGGCAGGTCTATCAGGCAGGAGACTGCAGTTCGTGACTTGTTTTAGAGCTTTGTGTCCTGAGCTCCGTTTTCCCTTCCCCTGCTGCTTAGCTTGAGACATCGAAAACTTCACGATTGGGGTGAGGAAACTGCCTTTGTTTAAAAATGACTGAAAAATGACACTTTGACAGCACATTTAAATTTGATCCCAGAGGGTACTTAAAAAGCATCCCAGTGTGACGAGTGGAAGCGAGACCCTTCCTACTACAGTCTATAAAATGGTTACATGTATATGACACACATGCCAAAGGACAGCTAGTGGGTATCTGTGAAACAAAAGGGCAGTAGTTGATGCCCAGAAATGAGCAGGTACTGATTCAGGGTTTTGTGTGATTGTGTACATGCCAGTGTCACAAAACCTTTGAGCTTAGTGACTAATGTATGAAATTATGTATTCACAGTACTCACACTCAAGGTAATTGTTTGCAGATGTCTCGTATGAACGTCTTTATGTTATTTAAGTGCGGGGCAAGTTATCTACTCACCTCGCTAACATAGATGGCCACATCTTCTTCTTCATCTGTCCTGTAGCACAGAGTTAGGCCCAGCTTCTCTTGGCTGTTGAGTCGACACAGTTCTACTTCCTAAGTGGAAAAGAACGGAAAAAAAGATCAAGAAGATGGAGTGATTTTACTAAAAGGTTTGGAGGGTCCGAGAGACAGACTCCTCTAACCTCTAACCTTTAAAGGAAGAAACACAAACTGAATGATGTAAATTCTAAACACTTAACGTAAAAGCACGAGCTTGGCAATGGCTACACAAACACAAAGAGGCTGTTCCACTGATGAGGTCCTTTAAGTTCAGCGCAAAATAAAACTATAAGATTTTTGAGTCTGGATTTCCAACTTTTCTGAGGTTTTTTAGTGTTTGATCATGAAAGACATTCTTGGCTCTGTGAGTTTGATCGGAGGGGCTTTGATAAATGTCAGAGGACTGAGTTTTTCTCTTTCAAGTCTCTGCTAAGTTATAAAATATTAGACTATAAATAAACTATATGCTAATGCCATCAGAAATACACACTTGCTACAGTACTAAACTACTCCTCCGTGTCCTGTGGGGAGAGATAAACAAACTATTGACTAACAAATCAGTGGTCTGCAAATTTCCCAGGAGGCTCTTGGATTATAGCGTGGTACCCTGGTGAATACATGAATTATTCGTCTTTAATAAACACTAGTGGAAAAAAAGTAAAAATCGCACAAGTTCCCCTCCTCGTTTTAGCTCCTCGTTTTGGTGGAGCTTCTTTTATTTTCTTCAGTTTCTAAACTCTTAAAACCACTTTGCACTCTGTTTCTTTTAGCCACTGTGCAGCCAAACACGGCGCAGCACAGGCCTACACTCCATCTTCAAATGCTCAAACATATCAAGGGTTTTGGAGGGAATCAAGTGTGAAATGGCCTCTCCTCCCAAGGTCTTCATTAGAGCAGCAAAACACTCTCAGCAGCAGGAACGAGGTGGTTGAGTGAAGGGGAGGATGGTGGGGGCCGAGAGAAATAAGGTGGCGGTGAGGATTCTGGTGGGGCTCAGAGGGGTCTCAGACAGAAACCGTGAGAGTCATTTCCTCTTTGACAAGGAGCAGGTTGGCTGGTTACACGTGTCAGATGTGGCGGACTTTCCAGAAGTGGATGGGTGGCTTTGGGGGAGGGGGGGTGGGTCTGGCCATGTTGGCATGAGATGAGGGAAAAAAGGGGGGGGAAAGGCCAATGGCTGCTGCTTCTGGCTACCCCTACTAAGCTGTTTTTGAGACCACACACACACACACACTTCCTCACATACACACAAACAGACCTTTAGGCTAAATTCCCATTTTTTCCTGCCCCACTGCCACTCATTTCTTCCCACACGCCCGTATCTCAGCTTGTCACACACACGGTGACAGATCATTGACGTGTTTTTGGACCAGCAACCTGCTGCTGCTGGGGTACACAATCCCGTAGACTCACACACACACACACAAGCAGTTCTCTGCGCACATCTTATGCTTACACCTACACATATTCTCAACAGAGCACACATTCGCACATGCAGAGACAAAGAGCTTAAGGAGATCTGCATCATCTGAGCTTTGTGATTTTTTTTTTCCAGCATCTCCATCTGAGTGGGAGTTTAGATCTTTAATTGAGTGCCTCAGAAGCTGTGGCGGCGCAAAATCCCGGCTGATGCGTTAGTAAACAACACAAAAGCAAGAAACTTTACCTGTAGATTACCTGAACAAAATAAACTGCAAAAATCAATCATTAGTTAAATTAAAAATGTTTCTAATGAGATATCATGCTATTGTTGGAGGAGATACTGTTACAGAAGCACGGCTCCAGAGGCAGTGGAGCAGTCATGGAGGTAATGGGGAGCCAAGGAGACAGTGCATATCTGGCATGCTAATATGATGTGTGAAATTGTGGGATATCTGTGGGAAATCACTAGCAGCGTCTCTGAGACATCTGCCTAAAAATAAACCACACAAATTAATTGCCGCGACTGAGGTGAAGCAGCAGCGTGAGCAGGTAATGCATCACCCCTATCTGGCTCCGTAAAACAAGCTTAAACTTACTTCTGACTAATTAATAGCTAGATATAGTGCTGCAAACCTGCGGCTAAATGATCAGAGAAAATAGATTGGCACCGTTACTACATGGTGGATGAGGCATCAAATCTGTGCGTGTCTAATGATGTGACCCCATTTTATTTATCAGATGTTCTTTTTTGCCTATTTGTTTTAAGAATATATTGTTTGGGAAAAAAACACCCACTCACTCTGAAGCTTCTGCAAAAGGAGGTTGACTCCTGAACCATCAAATGCATTCGGCAATCACTGCCTCTCTCTTCTCTTTTCATTTGTTTTTTTTCCTCTATTTTCCAGGCGAGCTCTCTGCCTCTCAGGAAGGAGATTGCAGCACGGGGACGAGGGCTGACAGTAAATTAATGACTGCGATGGCGTGATTAAGGAGAAGATTGCCACCAACCATCAAAGCACATTGGATGCTGTCATAATAATCGCACTTTTGATTACCAGTAATTGAAAAAGCAGCCAGAAATGTGCGGATGGCTACCGCTGGCAGGGAAATTGGGAGGACTATCTCTGTGCTTGGAGTACTTCATGTCTGCAGAACTCACCTGAGGTAATCACAGGAATGGTTACTAATATAGTTTTGCCCCCACAGGCATGCAGGAATTCTAGGAAACGTATGTTTTAGTGCACATTTTTTGACATAGAATCTCAATACAAGATGGGTGTTAGCCACCATGATGGCACCAACCGGTTTGTGATGTTAGAGCCTTATTTTACAACCGTAAATGAAAGGAAACTTTTAGCAATGGCAAACGGCCTGTATTTGTATAGCGCTTTACACTACATTCAGTCATCGACCCATTCACACACTGGTGATGGCAAGCTACATTGTAGCCACAGCTGCCCTGGGGCGCACTGACAGAGTCGAGGCTGCCGGACACTGGCGCCACCACCAGTAGGCAACGGGTGAAGTGTCTTGCCCAAGGACACAACGACTGAGACTGTCGGAGCCGGGGCTCGAACCGGCAACCTTCCAAGACGAACACCCAACTCCTGAGCCACGATCGCATTGATGCGTAATGCTCGATGACTGGAGTCTCCATATTAGTCTGCAGCTGTAAAAGTTTGCTCTGCATGTGTGTGTCCAGCTGAGAAGTGATTTAAAAAAGGCAGCATTAAGATTTTAATACTTTTACAGCCATCGTTCAGCCCGACAAGGGGTGAGCACTTGTGAGCACGGAAAGTTGCAGGTGTTTGTTAAATGTTTCACTCGATACCTTTGGGTCAATGCAAGTTGAGGCGTTTAAGACAACTAGGGTGGATGACAAGGACTTTTTAAAAAAAAAATTTTTGCAACATATTCATACGAGCGTGTGTGTTTATACAACACCAACAGACCGCAATCAGATGAAGGATGCCTCTAAATACACAATTATATGCCATTACATGACCGGCTATAACCTGTAATGTGTAATGATGTCAGGTTATTTTGTGAGGTCAGAGAATTCAGCACTCGTGTTTTTATAACTTAACATGAACCATATAATAGAAGGTTTCCTGTGTCCTGTCCATATGTCCCCAGACCTGGATTAAATTACTAATCTGCTCTCTTGCTTTGTTAGGTACACATGCGCAACTGATTGTTAATGCCAATATCTCATTAAATCACATGGCAGCAACTCGGTGCATTTAAGCACGTAGACCTGCTGAAGTTCAAATAGAGCATCAGAGTGTGGAAGAAAGGTGATTTAAGTGACTTTGAATGTGGAATGGTTGTTGGTGCCTGATAGACTGGTTTGAGTATTTCAGAAACTGATAATTGAAAAATGTTGCCTGGGCTGACGAGTTTCAATTTCTGCTGCAAAATTTGGATGATGAGCTCAGAACTGTGTGTAAACAACACGAGAGCATGAATCCATCCTCCGGAGATGCTGGTGTTGGTGCATTGGTATCAGGATATTTTCTTGGCACACATTTGGCCTCTTAGTAGCAGTTGAGCATCATGCAAACACCTCAGCTTACCTGAGTATAATTGCTCACCATGTTTATCACTTTATGACTGTGTAACCGTCTTCTGATGGCTGCTTCTAGCAGGATAACACACCATGTCACAAAGCTCAAATAACCTCAATCTGGTTTCTTGAACATGACACCAAGTTCATCGTACTCAAACGCAATTATCCAACAGAACACCTGGTAAAATATTATTAGCACTGTGGATGTGTCACTGTGTGATTTTATCGTGTCAATATGGACCAAAGTCTCTGAGGAGTGTTTTCAGCACCATAATAAATTTGCACCAGACAGAATTAAGGCTGTTCTGAAACTAAAGAGTCCAACCTGGTACCAGCACGGTGTCCCTTACAAAGTGGGTAAACTATCAGTCGACATACAGTAAGTGGAACAACATCAGGGTAGTATAAAACCCCGCAAGCATTTAAAAAACAATAAAAAAAGAAAGTGGAAAGGCTGCAAAGCACACAGAGTATAATAGGATTTGCTAATAGCAATGAGGCGTAAAAAGATGCTTTCATACATTATATTTGTTCCGATTTGACACTCAAGCCTCTGCGATTCAAATGGGTGCACAAATCTCTTTAGGATGTGAAGAAACAGCTCAACCTCAGTGGGTGAAAACATTCAGAACAAATTCAATGAAACAAATAGGAGGAGGGAGGGGTGAGCAATCATCATACATCAGACCAGAGGAGCCCTCGCTGACTTTGTGCTCACACCTCAATGACTCGGAAATAAAGAATATTGGACCAAAGCGGTTAACAGACACAGTCTGTTTATCACTTCCTGTCCCTGAATCAGTGATTCTCTAATGTGCTAGAGATCATTAGCCTCCAAAGCATCACCTATCCTACTGTTTCCCTTACTTACACTTTGGGAAAGACGCATAAGCAAAGATTTTTTTTTTTCTTGCTAGCAGCTGCCACACACACCTCACTTTAATTGGGTTTGATCATACTCAGTCAAACAGCTCCCTCGGTTTCTCTTCCGGACACATGAAAACAACTTACAAATCTCAAGCAAGAACGGGTGCACTTGGAAGTTTTCTACTTTATCTTGTCGCCTTTTGAGGGCAAAAGCTTTGGTCATTTTCAACAGAAGCGAGGACTGTGATGCGACTGATTATCTCGCACTACAGTGCCCCTGGGATTTGTCCTTAATAGATGAGCACAGGAGAAATGTGTTTGCAGGAATGTAGATGTACACTTCACACCTGTGCAGGGATCCTACTCGCATGCATACACTTTTGATAATAATCCCTTATAGCTAATATTGACCATTCCAGTTGCCACCGATATCAAGTATCAGTCTTACCTCATACTCAAACTCCTCTGTCCTGTCTCCATCAGCGGGTACAGGGGAGAGGTAGTCAGTCCCTTCGTAGTAATCCTGGTTCATTGTATGAAGGGAATGACAGCTGTCAAAAGGGATGGACAGGGAGCCAGGGAAACAGAAAGAGGTGGAGATTTTGGTGTAAGCAAGATGCTTTTCCTCAGTTTGACAGTGACAGGACTTAGTTGCTTTTGTCTTAGCTGAAATCTGAAGAAGAAAGGATTTGTCAAGAGCTTTCATTGGTGCTGGAGTGTTAATAACAGCATATCCACATACTGTAATTTGCTTCCTGCTCTTGACAGACAAAACCCCCCACACTGTAAAGTGTAATTCTATTATGCCTCCCTCAGTCACAGAACAAAACAGCATTGTGAGGGCCTAACGCAATGAGCAAGCTTTGGTGCCGCACAGGATAATCACAGTGGACAAAAACCTCAAAAAGACACTCTGTCGAACACGTTGAGTGATGTTTCCAGGGGCTGTCTGACTCCCAGATTACCCAGGACTGTAAAACTGTCTCAAAACAACCTTCCAGTGATAGAAAAAAAACAAAAACAGACTGGTAAATGTCAGAATGCTTGATGGCTCAATATTATTCATGTAACAACATTTGGCAGTGGGAGCAAAGAACACAATTACAAATTTACAATCTAGCCCCAAATATAAGATGCCAAAACCTTTGTTATAGCTATAAAACCTGCCGTATATTGGATTGTGCACCTGATCTCAGATGAAGAGAAGAAAATGTGAGTTTTATGGGTCACATTGATTACATTCAGACTTGGCCTGGGGCTGTGAGGATCGGGCATACATTCCTTTGTGTTGCCTAGCTTTTTTTATTAGCCCATTTGCTTTAATCACCTTGTAAACCTTCCATGAGGCAAAATAATACCCCAAGCAGCTCCAATTAAGGCCAGAAGTTCCTGTGAGGATTTCTATGGTGACACTGAGTATATATAGATATATATATCGTGCATGCAAGATACTTACCCAGACAGTTTTTTTTAAATAACATCTCCAATATTGACACACAGTTGCTTTAACTGACTGAATACTTACGCAAGCTTCCAATGACAAGAAATATACAACTCAAAATGTGTAGTGTTTTTGGAATTAATCGTCTACTGTACCAAACAATGGGGCAGTCTTAATTTCTCGGCTCTGTGCAATAAAGCTGCAGTGTTGCTCTCGCTCGTTCCCTCGAGGTGAAACCTAGATATTCTTTTATGCTAAACTTTTCTTGTGCACACTTTACTTCTCCTCTGAGATAAACACAACACATAACACATAAACTAAAATGCCAAAAGATGAAATAAGGAGCCATGTTTCCTTTGTTGTTTTCCAGCAAAACCTCTTGTTGATGCTTCAAACTCTGGAGATCTTTTAATGGATTGCTCTCACAAACAATAAAAAAAGGGAAAAAAAACCCCCAACTTGGCTTTGAAGTGATGTACAACCCAGCAAACGCTTGAGCTGTTGAGATACGATCAGACTCGCATCCACAAATTATACATAGTTACATTAGTTATATTTTCTCTAAATATAGAGAAATTTAACTCAAAATAGATTTAGTCTGTCTACTGAAAAAATAATCTCTGTTGACTTATTATTGCAGTTTTTCACCTGCCACCCAGCTACAACTATCCCCCTTGTAAATTTTTAAGTACACTGGTAGTTCAGATCCTCAAAGTCTAGAGGACGTTGTATCTATAACAACATTTATTTGTGGTCTTGGACTTTATCTGCCTAGTGATACATGTAGCACGCTTGGCTAATCAGAACCACTTGAAACTGTCCATAATTTGTCTTTTGTTTCTTTTTTTCCCCATTTCCTCGTATTTGTGAAGCAGGAAATGAATGGTTCTAAGACGCCCATTCAAACAAATCTCTATTTGTCAGAATAAACTGCGCGTCTGGTTAGGCAATTTATTTATAATAAACAGTCGTCCTTCAGACTTGTAATGCTAATCCTACAAACGCTGATATTTCTGCTTCATGGCTCAATGACATTGCTTATTTTCCCCCATCCTTAATTATTGTCAGCCTCAGCCAAAGTCAGACAAGGACACAACAACAAACTCTGTATCGCTATCTGCTGCAGCAAACCTAAAACTTCATAGTGGAGTAAATCTAAATAAAAAAAAAAAAAGAAAAATATCAAGAAATAATATAAAATCACTTGTTGCTATGCTCATAGTCTGTGAAAGCAGGGCTCCCGACCTTTTTAAGCTTTATATTTTCTGCATACCTGTCAGAAAGCAGGAAGGGACAGACGTCAGGCACAGGAGGGGTTGAAGGCCGGAGTTTTGCCAGCGCCATGATGTGTTCAAAGGTGATGTCAGTCTGAGTGCACACATCCACCACATGGATTTCCTGAGGGGGGCCATGGGGGCGCCCGCTGGGGGTCCGCCGGATGACCTGCACCACGACGGGGTCCTTGGCAGGGCGAAAGGCTTCCACAGTTTCTTCATGGCTGGACTTGGACAACTCTTTTCCATTCACCTGAGAATAAGAGTGAAAAATTGCATTCTTTTGTGCGCTTATTTTGACAACTTTTTGGCATAAAAATGTGTAAAGATACTATAAGCACAGGTATCATTTAAGTGGTTCTATAGTCCTGAATTTCGCATGTGAATACTGAGACTAAAAACCTGGGAAAAGTGACATAAGCTCAAAGCCTGCTGCATGCTCTACTCTAAGCAGTGCCCTTCACCTACACCAACGGAGTACTGTTTAGCAGTAAAAATGCACCACATGTTAAAAAACCCCTCAATCTTAATGCATTCTTCTAAACTTCTCTACCCAGTGTACTGACTCATTAAAGGTGGAGATGATGTCTTCTCAATATATGATCAAAAAGGCATCTTAATGAATATAACAGTGGAGAGCATGCACACAATCAGTGTGATGCAACATAATTAGGCTGTTAGATCAAAACCCAAACGGCCTCTGTCCACTCATTCCATCTTCAACCTCATCTCCCGAAAAAGAACTGGATTTTCTGGCAGACTGAAAACCATTTGCACTACAGCTGGAACATATAAAGAAAATCATTGCTTCATTTAGCACCAGTAATTTCTTTGCAGGAGAAACTCTGGCTGTGGAATACCCCAGAGAATGTGCTTTGGTATAAATGCTCAAGCCAGAGATTATAATTTAGATAACGGCAGAAAAGTAAGAGGGAAAATAAGGTAGACGCAGGATAATTACAGTTACTGTTGCATTTAAATGTGGCTTTGGAAGGGAGTATTTTGCTCACACTGCAAACTTAAATTAGTTAAAATGACAACTATGAAGTAAAAGAAGGCATTTATATTCACAAGCATCAGCTGTGGAAAGATACAGCGAGCCTGGGAAACTCAAAAGCGGCAGTGTTTCTGGGCCTGAATTACAAACTCTTTAAAATACAAAGTCGTGGCAGAAATAAACACACACACACACACACACACACACACACACACACACACACACACACACACTACTGACTGTAACAAAATGACCTAAATTCATAAGCAGCTGGTAGTTTTACAGCAACTGACTGTGTGCATGTACTGCCTCTAAACGAACATTAGAGACAAAGAACGCACCTGGGAAGTCCGACAGAGGAGGTTTATATTTATAAACCCAAAAATCCCACCACCAATTCTTTACTCCTGCGTTTGAATGAAATGACTCAATGTGCTTTTGTACTGACAGGACCACACAGCATTAACTGTGTGTAAAGCATGGATGTTTCCAAGTCCTCATAAATCCCATTTGAGCTATACGCAACTAGTTGGATTGGATTATAGAGGCAAGCAAATATTTGTCTTTTATTTTATTGTTATCATCACTTATTTGTAATTGACTTATTGGCTGATAGAAAAAGCCAGAACAAAGTCCCACGACTCAAAAGCTGACTACACCAAAAAGTATTCACCTTATATCATATTTCACAAGAGTTGGAACCTGAGATTTAAAGAAAAAAAATAAAAATAAGACAGTCGAAGTGCTGCGTAATCATCTTTAAAGTTTCGAACAGCTGAAACTATCCAGATAATGAAGACATATATCTAATATCTCGAGATACCCTAAGGAAAAATCCCTTAAGGGGACTCCACACTCAGTAACCGCTCCATTATGTGCACAAATGAGCAGAAAAGACTAAAGAAAAAAGAAGAAGAAGAAAGAAATATCCCCATTTGGCAACTCCCAAATTGGGCAATTCACACATACGCACATCACCGACATCCTAGGACACCATCTGAGGAGTAGTAACACTTCTTCTCCTTCAAGGAGCACTTTTAGTAATTTGTGACTACACTACACAAGAAATGGAGAGATTTTATGAAGAAAGACCCTACAGCATCATGTGGACTTGCTTTTTTCCTGGTAGCATTAAAAGGCTACCCCACAAGTGCCACAGAAGACAAGTAAATAAATCTTCATCAGCACAGCACTGCTATAATTTCATCTGTTTGCCATCCCCATAACTAACACCATTATGTACTGGCAGTAAATATAAAAATATTTATAGGGGGATAAACAGCGTAGGACAATGAATATTATAACTGTTATGCCACAGCAGTGCTGCTCTGCTGTTCTACTTAGTTCGTTCCTGGATGCGTCTGTGTTATTCCTTTTAATTCTCCACGTAAATCCCCAGAGACTGAGGGATGCCCTACAAAAAATAAACAGCTTCTTTTCTCAGCAGTAACTGTAGCCATATATAACTCTCTTAGCTCTTGTGCTCTGGTCTGCTCCCCTGCCTCCTGATGTGACCTTTGTTTGCAGCAAACTTACATTAATCACCTCAGCAGGAGATAAACTCGGTCAACAGATCTGTTGTTCAACTGTGGGCAACGTGAAGGTAGAAAAAAAGCAGTCGTGCAGCCTCTCTCATCCCGGCTTCACTCCTACCTGCAATTACAATTGAAATGCACGACCTAATGCCCTTAACTGACTCCCAAACAAAGGTTTGTATGCCAAAACACATTTTAAGGTTAAATATTTCCACCCAATGACAATAAAAGTTCCAAGGCACCCACTCTTAGGTCTTCAGGTATTCCACCCACAAAACATACCTCTTATTCACATTGAATCTAGCAAGTGCTCCCACTTAAATCTTTCTTGCTTTCATTCTTGGCCATTCAGCAGTTCTTAAGTACTGCAGCAAATACCTTACACATAAGTACTGTATTAAAGAAACATGGAGTACTGTTGTAATTAGCTTATATAGCTCGTTCTTTCCTCTTTTGCTGCATGTCTCTTGCTCTGTAGCCTAATCCTTGAACAGAGAGTCTGCTGGAAACAAAGGAGTTGGAGCAGACAAATGAGGCAGCCCATAGTGTATGACAGACCCAAAGAAAAATGATTAAATTTTCCAGCTCTCCCCCTTGTTCAGACTGTCCAGTCCAGGCTCCTCCTCCTTCTCCTCCAAGCCTCACCGTTTAACGAGTCATACTCACAGCCAAACAGAAACAAGAAATCTATCAGGGGAAAAAACGGGAGGGAAGGTTGTGTTGTTTTTCTATTTTGTTCACTGGTTTTTATGTGAGACAGATGGAACAATTAATCCCCAATAAACACAAGAATATTAAGTAGCTTTAACTCCATGAGGGACGCTGCCATCCTTCTTGTGTCCCCTTGACTGATGTCTATCCAGCTAGACACACTGCCTATGTTATTTGTGTGGATCTGTAGTCCTATCTGACAGATGGGAAGGGGTTCTATAAGTCTGGCTGCGGCTCCCTCGATATTCTCAGATATTCTTACACTGAATATCTGCCTTCAGCACACTTTTGCTTTATTATCCACAAAGTACACCATCAATCTGCATGCTTAACGATGCTTAAGGTGAGTTCCTACACTAAAACTGGAATTGGCTAAATTCCACAAACACTGTTTCTTCACAAATTAACAGCCCGAACAAGCTGTAGCCTCTTAAAGTTTCATCACACATTCAAATGTAGTTATGCAGGAATCAGCTATCCTCCTCAAGTGTGCATGCAAAGCACGCAAATACATATTCATTCATAAACACGTGCTGGTAAACAAGATCTGTTTGCAACAAATTATTTAGCAGCTGTAGTGTTTATCAAGTCCAAAGCAGCTCTGCAAGTGCTTCATGGCCAAAAGTGTTCCATATGCACTGAGTCAACATGAATTATCTTATTGGTCTGGAACAAAACAATGGTGATTGCTCAGGAGAGATCATTTGCTCTACAACCGGGACAGGAGATGATCAGGTAAATGTGAAGTTGGAAGGAAACTGGTGCTGGGATGGAGGAGCTGGATCAAGACACATCTGCTGGCTGTTTGCACATGGATATGCAGCAGCTGTAGCCAGAGGAGAAATGTGTTTTCATTCAAAGCCCCAGAGACCACCACCAGCCTTCCAACAACAAATGCAGTAAACCAGCTTAGTGGAGTGTAACAAAGGGATGCAACCACTTTTTTCCCTCCTTTCTTTCATTTCCTTTGTAGCAGAGTCCCGTATTGACAAAGATATTCAAAAAACTGTATGTGTTACGCGGCTGAGTGCATTAACTCTCCTCTTCAGCAAACATCTGATGTCACTTTAAGCCGCCCTGAGCCGTTACCGACAAACAAACAGACTTACTTGAAAACTTTAACAGTCGCTGTGTATATAACTACGAGCTTGTAGACGCCTACAGCAAAGCGCAATCCTGAAGGCGCTTTCATCTGTGACCCATCTTATCATTTATCCTCCAGGTAAGAGGACAAGCCAGGAAGAACAAACACGCAGCAGCTTAGCTCGACCCCTCGAGCGCCTCCTCTGTCACTGCTTTTGTCTCTTCGACTGCTCCCTCCCATCAATATCTCCGAAGACCGAGGGCAGAATGTAGTGATAGTGGTAGGAGAGTGGGGGCAGTTTATCTGTTAATGTGTCAACTTCAGCCACATCTGATGCCGCTTCTACGGAAGAGACAGCTTCTCTAGCGGGAAGCACAGACAGCGCTGGCAGCTTGCAGGGGATTACTGATAGAAGTGATTGATGTACTTCTTCTGCGAGGAGAAAAGACAGCCTCAGGCAGTAGACTATAATAGTCCATTAGCTTTTTTATGCCTTTGAATTAACTGCACACATTGCTTTATAGCGTGCATGTAGCACTTTGAATCTTAATGAAATGTTTTTGTTTTCAATTTTCAAAAGATTACGGTGCGACTAAGGGGACAGCGTTTGCCTTCGTAGGTATCCTGGCTGATGTAGAAGAGCACCGAAATGAATGAACCAAGGTCATTTATTCCACTTCAGCTACAGCGACATGGAAACACGGCTTTCGACAGAGCCCGGTATTAACTGTGTAACCTTGTCTGCTGATCTTAACATCTGTACATGCAATAAGCCTCAGTTACGCGCGGTCTGCAGCTCATGTGCTCGGTCACCTGCTGGTCTGAGTGGCAGCGTGTGGGGTGCTAAGTATATGCAGGCAGATGGAGGAAGTGTAACATGTAGGTCATCCAGGCCCACGAGTGTGGGGCTTACATCCATCGATTAC